GAAAACATGACTATTTTTATGGAACGGAGGGAGTATAATACTTACAACTACACAAGAAAGTTTCCAATTTTATGACCTCATCCCCAAACTCAAAAATGATATTTTCCCAATGTTAAACTCAAGAGAAAATACCAAAAAAAGGACCGTGGAAGGACTTCTTTGAGGATATGTATTGGAGAATGCATCACTTGCCTAGACGGGATGGATTGGTAAGTGATGTCCCTTTCCTTTGTCTGCAGAAGAGATGGTTGACTGTTTCGCACATGGCGCATTTTTCTATGAAAAGAAAACAAGGAATGAGGTTAAGTTTGAGGTTGCAATTGCACTATTAGCATATCCAAATTATAAAAAAAATCTAAGGTTATGATGGTGACGACAAATAACAAGCAATGTAAAGTTATGATGACAATTTACAAGCTAGAGTGTGTGGTTGTGAAAATAGTCAAATAAAGAAGGAAACTTTGGTTCTTGACTTTCATCAAACACTTTGTGGGTGTTATTGAATGATAATTGAAATTTTTGTAAATTTTGTATGTCCATGCCCCAAATGGTGGGAAAAATTGGTAATTTGTCTGTAGATAAATTATAAATTAATATAACTATTTTAAATATAAATTTAAGTAATATAATTCAATGATAATACAAACATAAGATGAAAAAGGAGATATGTCAAGGATGCTGTCCTAAAGTCGTGTTGCATTTCCCTTTGTGCGGGTACTTTCGACATTATATGACTCTAAGATAAAATTCATGTGGCTCACAGTTGGTTCTCCTTCTATGAACACGACTATAGAAAGGTAAGTGAACGAACCTTTATCAAGTTGTCAAGACTATAAGAAGCTATTTTTTCATGTTATGTTTAATCCCATGAAAATCACTCCCCTTTATAGGGAGAAATTCAACCTTTACTCTCATGAAAATTAATCATATTTAAGTACAAGTTACAATCTAAATTATCAGATATAATTTTGTATCAAAAGTTAATACTAAAATCAAAACTAAGAATTAATATTTGTCGTGGAAGTTTAATTTTTTTTTTAAAAAATTATAACAACAATCCTCCACAAGTTTTAAACTTTCAAATTTTATAATTATATATGGCAACATAATACTGTGTAATAGGTACAGGCGTCTTTTGGACTTGAACCTTACTTAATGACGACAATTTTCATTTGAGGAAGCCATAATGGCTAAACCTTGAATTAGGTCTCTTTGACCAAACTTCAATTATTCTACACATAGTA